CATACGTACGTACATATATACATACACGCATACACATACATACATACATACATACATACATACATACATACATGCATACATGCATGCATACATGCATACATGCATATTACATGCATACATGCATATTACATGCATACATGCATACATGCATACATGCATACATGCATACATGCATACATGCATACATGCATACATGCATACATGCATACAAACAAACATACATGCATACATGCATGCATGCATACATGTATGCGGCAGTTGCCATAAGAACATAATGATGGCAACAGCCGTAGAGAAGTGACAAGCCATGGCCATCAGCAAACATCCTGTTCTCTCAACAACTCGGAGGCTCAGAAACTTCGAAGGTACACCGCTTGCCAGCAACGTTTGCACAACCGGTGGCAGGCTACATGTGTGACTTACAGGTCAGTCTAAACCTAAACCTCACGCCCCTTGCTCGCTGGCTCCTTTATAACAGCAGACATGAGGATCACCACATTCGTTTTCAGCCTGTCCACGAAACCTGACGACCGTGACTGACTTCAAGAAACGGAGCAGCAAGATGAAGGCTGCTTTGCAGGCAACATCTTCTGCGAGCTCGGCCTAAGGGGAAGGACTGCTTCCTGTGCAGTCTGCTTTGGGTGCACAGAAAGATCCGAAGGTCCGAGAGGTGCGCGAGGCTCCCAGGCCGCTATTTCGGGACAAAAGCCGCTGTAAATGTGATCTTTTTGGGTCAAAACCGAAGGCATATTTTCCTGCTCCTTTGATTTCGCCTCGTGCAAGGAGATCTGCATGTGGTCAGTAGTGTTCTGAGGAACGGATGCCTCTGCATCCGAGTCGTCGGCTTCGTGCTGCGAAACCAGCATGTAGTCCCCAACACCAACCTTGCGAAGTGCCGTCTGAGCGTGCGTGGATGTAAGAATCAGCTTTAACGAAGCTAGCACCCCAAGCAAGTTCGTTAGGAGAGAGTATAGAACATACTGGTTCATGTCTGCCGAAACGGTACGGTCAAACAGGCCAAGGAATGCTATCGATAACTGCGCAATGTCCTCTGAAATAATTTGGAGCAGGCGGTAGCGCCAAAGGATTTCGTCCGTCACTGGAAACATGGCAACTGCAAATACAACGGTTGCAGAAGGAACGCAGGTGAGAGCCCAAATGATCTGGCACCAGGGCTGCACACGACCAAGCATAGCCAACAGTGCGGCCAAGTCTGTATAGAGGTCTAGCACTTGTGTTCCAAGCCAGATGTGCACAGACATGATCTTTCTGTCAAAAAGCTCAACGACGACTGTGTCATAGGAGTTCCATTTGGCAAACACCACATCATGCAAACCCTTCAGGACAAGGGTCATATATGGAGGCCACATGTACGCATTCGAGCCAACCACGGCACCCGATGGAAGCGTGAGGCAAAAGAGCAAGGAATCCTCCACATCACCGATTTTCAACTTGCACAAGACAGGGAAAATGACAGCAAACGCAGTCAAACATATCATTGCTGGAGCAAGCAGTAGAATCGCCATAAGGGCAAGATGGAATGCAAGAACGAAGGGGCCCGCAATCAGCCACAACAAGATTGACAGGCCGCACCAGTAATTGCATTCGCTAGGAGGTCCCCGCAGGAAACTCTGCATTGAGGCATCGACCTTTATCAAATAGTATGTGGCGAAACAACAAGAAGCGCTGAACGATACCACCAAGGCTGGCCAACAGTGCTGCCAGACGTAGTGAACAACCTCCAAAAACGAGGGACCTCTTGCGGCACGCTCTTCGCATGACGGGCCATGATGCATCGCGGATGAATTTGTCGAGCAGTCTGGAACTTAGCGGAACTTGCAACTGTGACTGCGCTGTTGATACCAAAACCCTCTTGCTGTTGCGCACTGTCTACTGTCGGGATTGCAACTGCTTATGCTTCTACTACTATGCAGATCAGCGTTGTGATTGTAGCGTTCTATGTTCTTCATCATACTAGTCTTATTGTTATTCTGGTTGCTAGTTGCTACTCTTGTTATTCTTTTCATCCGTAGTAGTTTCAGAAGCAGTAGCATGTCCATGCAGGGAGCTTCACATGGCTGCGGAAACATGGTACTGCTTCTACTGGCTATTTGGTGTCTTTGATAACAGCAGCACTACGGCCGACTAGCCCGACCCCTGCTGAAAGCATCTTTGTCTGCAGTGCTGATTCTGCGTTGAGGGCTTAGGGTTCGGATCTTGACAAGAGCGCTGTCCGCCAGCTGGGTCTGAGACAGCTTCGGGGAGCTAGCAGCCTGGTTGAGTTTATGGAGGGGCCACAGTAACTTTAACAAACAGCTGCAAGCAAGATCTCCCTAATCGTGCTGTCCGTCTCAGCGGCTTCAGACTTGACAGGTTCTGCTTCCATGACCCAGTCATGCATCCCTTTCGGCCAGAAGCCAGAACCCAACCCTAAACCGTGTACAGAACTGAAACAGGCTGGAAACATGCCGGGTCTTCGCTCACAAAGCGGCGGTTGTAGACAAAGCGCTTCTTCGCACGGCCGGTGAGCTTCTGAGCAGGCCAAAACCCTGAATCCCCGTATACTAAACTTGACGCACCACACCTGCACCCTGGACCTGGAACCAATACCATTGAACCTTTTGCCATGGCTGCTCGGCGCGTGCCCTCCCCCTCAAACCCCCAACGCCGCAGACTTCTGCATCTGCCGCAGCAAAACTCAAGGTGCTACTCAAGAAAAACAGAAAAGCAAAATTACCACAGCAGCAACAACAATGACGACGACAACAACGACAACAACAAAACAAGGACAGCACTGTCATTTCACCACAGGCATCAGTCTTGGTTTCTCATAGCTACCATGACCAACTGTCATCCAAACTCTTCATGTCAGCAGCACCATCATGACAACCTCAAAGCCCCCAATCCCCCAAGGACACTGACAAGCGTGTAGGTTGCACTTTGGGCTTCACAGCTTCTGGTGGTTAAAGCTTGAAGCGTTCCTCGTCAGCTTACGGAGTCAGATGTCGGACCTTGGGCCTTCGGCTTGCGAGGAACCCTGACCTCTCAAAAAGGGGACACCCTTGAGCCGAAGCCCGTCCTTCTTCTTCTCGGCTTTGGCAACCTTCGGGGTCTGATTCTTGACCTTGCCGGCTCGCGCCAAACCTCAAAGATGCAGAGAGTAAACCTGCATGACCCAGACAACACGGCCACCACTATTTACAGCGTCGGCAGCATCGGTCTCTGCATCAACATCAGATGCAGCAGCTGCATCAGCCGCACCAACGCCACCAACACCACCACCACCAGCATCACCACCATCACCACCATCACCACGATCACCATGAACACCACAACGATGAGAAGTTCCTGTCAAGTCGGAATTCATGCATCCAGGCGGTGGCCAAGGCCGTCACCCTCACAAGTCAAAATCAGACACCTGATCTAAACAAATGTGGACAAGCCAAGGATTTCACCAAAAGACAAACTATTCTGGTAGTAATCGTAGCCCTCCGCGTCGTCAGCATCGTAGTCGTCGTAGTAGTCGTAGTGGTCGTAGTGGGAACAGCAAGCGTAGTAGTAGTAGTAGTAGTAGTAGTAGTAGTAGTAGTAGTAGTAGTAGTAGTAGTAGTAGTAGTAGCACTTGTTGTTCTCGTCGTTGTTGTTGTTGCAGTCGCAGTGGCAGTAAAAGTAGAAGC